GGAAGATGTCACCAGCTTATTGAGATGCCAGAGCAGAAAGCTAGAAATACCGGAGTTATTGGTGACATTAGTAAATTAACCCCAGAACCGCCCTGTACTCAGATTTCTTGTGGGATAATAAACATTCTCATTGTTTATGTTGCTGTTAGTTAAGCTTTCCATTATTTGCAGAAAAAAAAAAATTCTAACTAATAAAAAAGGGGGAAAAAAGGGAGAAAGAGAGAAATGCAGGATGATATTAGGTTTTTAAACTAATCATGTGGTTGAGAGGTGATATTATTTACTCAAGACTCAGAAGCCCAGGACTGAAGCAGGATTGGCAGTGAATGGGGTTAAGGCAGGATATTGAGAGTTCTACTTTGAATGTGTTCTGTTTAAGATGTCTAACAGGCTTTCAAGTGACGATGTCAAGAAGGCAAATAGTCATGGGAGTCTGAAGTTCAGAGGAGAGGTCCAAACTGGAGATGCAAATTTGAGAGTAATCAGCATATAGGTGATATTTCTCTTTATTTCTTTCTTTCACTGTGGTTTGGGAATGTATATAATCTAGCTCTGTTTCTTTCTTAATAACCCTAGAAATGTTACAAAATTTTTTTTATTAAGGACATTTAAAAATGTTCTCAAAGTGGAGATAATATAATAAAACCCCATATACTCATCATCTATCTTCAGCAATTGCTCTTTCGGGGAGAAAAACAAATAAAGACAAGTGAGACCCTGGGACTGAGCTAGGGTAAGACCGCCTTAGAAGTAAGACCACCAAGAAGGAGTGACCAGGACAAAAACCAGGAGAAAGGCGTGTCATTGAAACCAAGAAGGAAATGTTTCAAGGAGAAAGGAAGGATCAGCTCTGTCAAACACTGCTGAGAGGCTGAGAAAGATGAAGATAGAGATATGATCTTTGGCAAGATGAAGGTCACTAGAGACCTTGGCAAGAGCATCTCAATGGAGCATGGGAACCAAGCTTGCATGGGGAGTGGGGAGGAGAGAAGACATGGAGATATCCCTTTAGAAAGGTTGTGCTGTGAGAGGGAAGACAGCTGGTAGATACTCCAGTCTGAAAAAATAGAAGGATATGCACTAAGGCTCAGCTCCACCCCTCCCAGATAGAATCAGTAGAGTCATTTGAAACTTTGAGGGCCTTGCTGCACTGCTCTGGGATGGAGATGTGAGATTTGGGGAAGGGTTTAGAAAAGAGGGAAGAGGGATAGAGATCCAAAGAGAGAGTAGCCTGCTGGACACCCACGTAGGGTAAATGGACTAAGCAGTGATTCACTGGGAAGAGTGAAGAAGTGCCTGGAATCATCTAGATTCTGTACATGTTTGTGAATGTCTAAAAGTCTTCAGTCTGGTAATATGGACCATTACCTGCATATCCACACAAAGCTTATGGTCCAAGTTCAGGGGCATCTGTATATATCCTGAGAACATACATAGGCGCGCGCTCTCTCTCTCTCTCTCTCTCTCTCTCTCTCTCTCTCTCTCTCTCTCACACACACACACACACACACACACACAGAATCTATATTCCACTAACATGCCTTAGGCATTTCTCCCTGCATCCTTGTCTTCTCCATTTTCCCTGTGAGAAGGCCTGCTCCAGGGCTGTAAACTTTGCTATAGGGGCCACGGTAACATAAATGTGTAATATGAGCTGAACATATGATGTTAAATGGCAACAAACACTCATCCTCTGTGTCAGGGGGACACAGAGTGGTAAGAACTGAGTGAACTGAAGCAGCTTGTTGTCCGTCCTAAGAAAACAGCCACCACCCAGCTCCACTTGTTGTCCTACTGGTTTCCTGTTGCTGCTGTAACAAATTGTTGCAAACTTAGTAGCTTAAAACAACACAAATTTATTATATTGCATTTCTGGAGATCAGAAGTCCAAAATTGGTCTTATGGTGCTAAACTCAAGATGTTGGCAGGGTTGCCTCCTTTAGAGGCTCTGGAAGAGAATATGTTCCTCATTTTTTCCATCTACTAGAGGCTGCCCACACTCCTAGACTCATGGCTCTCTTCCATCTTGAAAGCCAACAATTTTATCACGCTGATCTCTACTTCTGACCTCTCTTTCCTGACTCTGACCCTTCTGCCTCCCTCTTTCATTTATAAGAACTTTTGTAATTACATTGGGCCCACCCAGAAAAATCCAGAATTATCTCCCAATCTCAGGATCTTTACCTTATCATATCTGTGAAGCTTTTTGCCATGTAAGGTAACATAGTCATAGGTTTTGGGGATTAGGATGTGGACATCTTTGGGGGCTATCATTCTGCCTACCACTGTTGCTAAATGGGAATGTAGGCCTAGTATGGCCAGACCTTCCAGTTCTTTTCAATAAGAGCTAGAAAGCTGCATTTTTACCTGACTGTGCAGAAAAGAGTTAACATAGCTGGCCTGAGACTGCTATCCTTAGAAAGGCCTAATTGCAAAGTTGGCCCTTGGCTGGCATCTGGGAACTTGGCTCTTGGAGCATTCCCAATCAACAGTTAACTGACAATGATAGTTCATTGTGCCTTGACTATTTGTGTAAAATGGTTTATGCTGAATACCTCTTTTTCTTTTAGGAGTCCGGAATTTTCATATGAGCTTGGCAGGGGTGACCAGCCCTCAATAAAAACCTTGGGCGCTGAGTCTCTAATGGTTTTGTTTGTTTGTTTGTTTGTTTGTTTTGCAGAAACTCTGTAAGGAGATGTTGCTCCATTTTCATTCTGGAGGAAGAACACACTTGTGAGCCCTTATGGGAGGAAGAGGGCGTAGAATCCTCCAGACTCCCCTTGTGTCTTTTCTCCTTCTGATCCAGCTGTGTATCCCTCCTACACTGCTGTGAGAAACCTTAGTTGTGAGTACTACTTTTTGCTGGGTCCTTTGAGCCCTTCTGGCTAATCTCTTTACATGGAGGTGGGCTTGAGGATACTATAACACAAAGACAATTTCTGATTTTTTTTTCATATTCTAAATGCTACAGGAGTTAACACTGTGAGTGCCAAACAAAACATTTCTGAGAGGGAATCTAGCCTTCAGGCCACCAATTTGTAACTTCTGGCTTCTTAGACTTCTACCCTAATTTTAGTCCCATCTCTAAAGTGAAACAATTCATCTGACACAGACTTAGCAAATGTCTATGATGTGCTAAGCACCATGCTGGGAACTAGGGACACAAAGATGAATAAGACAGTTCTTATCTTCAACAAGTCTGCTATCTGGTAAGATGGACATGTACACAAACAAATGCAGCATAATGTGCTACATGCACTAAATTAAAACAAATGAATGAAATGCTCTAAGAATCCAGACAGCTGCATTCATAGTGCTTTGCTGTGTCTGTATACATCTCTAAATTCATCTGGTCCTCACAATCTGAAGTTATCCCAGTTTTACAAATAAAGAGCCTAAACCTGAAGGTCAAAGAGGTTTAGGGTTTTGCCCAAGAGAGCTAAAATTTCTTACGATATTCGTTCTGCTGGTGTAGGAGTACACAACGGAAAAAGAGAGCCAGGGAAGATCTTCAAGAGGCTATGTGTTCTCTAATCACCAGTGGTTCTTGCTCTGTAGAGACTGTGACCCCATTTCCTAAAGCAGCCTCACTCTATGCCCTTGTCAGTTTTCTTTTTGATGAATGAGTCTTGTTCTCCCAACCAGATGGCAAGTCCACTGGGAAGAGAGACCTTGTCATGTTTCATTGTATTCCTTTCCATGTCTTGCCTAAGTAAGGTGTCAATTAGCTATTTTGTTGATAGAAAGTTGCCATGCTAGTTATTTTATCCTACTGTGTTGTGTTGTCAGACAGCCCTGGCCCTAGGAAACGCTGTGGTAGGAGAAGCAGGTGAGTCCTTTCACTAGCTGGGAGACAGGTTTCTTAAGAGTGCCAGTGGGCACACGGGCACTTCCTAATGAATATCCCCTGTGAAAGAAGACAGCTAGAAAACGTAAGGCACTTAAGAAAAAGCAGAAGTAGATGGAACAGCCCATTCTTTCAAGAAATGGAAATAAAAAATAGAAAGAAGAAATAGCTTCTGCTGAGGTTTCCACCTGAGCGCCCATGGTGTTAAGATACAAGTCGCAGATCCTGCCCGTGGCTTATAGACAGAAGAGGATGGAAAAGTCAAAATCGGTCAGGATATCAAAATCTCCATTTTCATTTCTTCTCTTCAGTGTCAACAAACATTTTGATACCTCACAACAATGCTTTCAGGGTGGAATCCTTTTCCCGGATCAAGGACTCAGTAAGGTTAAATCACCTGCCCAAGGTCACATAGGGTAGTCAGGATGCGAAGCCAGGTTCTAAGGGCTTCAGTCCAGAGCTCCCGCAGTTCTGGCAGGAGGAAAGCGGGCAGGTGGCAGTGGCAAGGGCTCGCTAATAGTGACGGCGCTGATGACGAGACCACTGACCAGCCAGCAGCGGCCGAGCCGTGGCAGATTCTCCAAGTGGGCTCTCAGCACCCTGGCGCTCAGGCTATGCAGCTCCTGGTCCTCGGCCACCCACAGGCGTTGGCGAAGGCCAGCTGTCCCGGCCGGGAACCAGCAGGCTGTGTGCCGCCGCAAGGGGTTCCTCGGGGACCGGCCGAGGCCAGACAGCCGATTGGAACCTCCAGGGAGGCGGAGGACGGCCAGTTGGAACCCCCGGGGAGGGCACGTACGAAGGCGGGCTGCAGCCACCTCGGAAGTGAAGCCTCTACGGCACTCGGCCTAAGTCAGAACACCTGAGCTACTGGCATCCCATGACGCAGGTGCAGGCGAAACGCTCCCTGGCAATGCGGCCTGCATCCCTGCAGAGGAGCTCGAGAGCCTAGAGTATCGGTTCAAAACCCAAAGCGAAGGGTTAAAACTGGGGATGCTACTCCTAACCCACATCCGGCAGGTGAGGAACCCCGGCAAAACGCGGGGCGGGGACCCGGTATGGCCCCACCCCTCTGGGGCCGCCTACCCTTCAGGGGGCGTGGCCCCCGGGCCGCGCAGCTTCTAGTGGGCGAGCCGAGCGCGCGGCCCCGCCCCCCCGCCTATAAGTGAGGTGCGGCACTGCACCAGCGCACTTCTCACTGAGACCAGTCACCCGGACTCTGCGTGAGACCCACCGCCCAGACTCACCATGGTGAGTGCGGCCCCGCCGGGGTCGCCGCTGTCCCCTAATTGCCCCTCTCCTTCCGCGACACTCCCTCCCGGAATGCTCGGAGCCCTCTGCCTGGCGTTCTAGGTCTCCAGGAGGTGCGAGGGTGTTTGCATTGCCCCCGACCCCGTCCCGGGGACTTTGGCGGAGCCGTGCTGTTCACTTTCTAAGGCTGGGGAAAGAGGGTGGGGGGTATTCACTAGAAGAGAGCAATACTCCTGGAAATCCCTTCCTGCTTCACCAACCATTTGTGCCCTAACCCTCCTGAGGGGGGAGTCACGCGGTCTGGTGCCCAGTCCTTTCTGCAGGCGAGGGACACCCGCTTGGCCGCTCTCCGCCCCTAGCCTCCCCCAACCGGGTCCTTGGAACTGACCGAACATGTGCTTGGCGTGAGAAGGTGGAAGGGGGTCAGGTTACTTGGTCCAGCATCCCCTTTTCCTCCAGCTGTGTATGCATCCCTTCTCCCCACAGCCCCCGCCACCCCCTGTGACTCAGCACACCTCTTCTGAGCCAGGAGAGGTGGCGGGAATGGGGTTCGGTCTCGTGAGGCGAGCCGGCCCCTCTCCAGCCCGAGCCCGGGCGCGCGGACGGGCAGAGACAGCTGTCGCTGAGCGGGAGCGCGGGCCGAGGCCAGGTTGGGGGGAGGGGAAAGAGGTGCGTGTAGGGGGTGGTATTTATAGCCTAAGAACGGGGGCCGAAATCCAATCCTTGCTTTCCGCTGGGATGTAACTGGAAAGAATCTAAAAGCGGGGGGGACGAATACAGGGCCTGGGTGCAGGATGGCGCTCATCCTGCTCGGGGCAAGGCGGGTTACCTCTGGGGCCTCACTACAGGTTCCGCTTCCTTTTCTGAGTATTTGGAAACCTTGCCCCCGCCATTTCGGTGTTGGAAAGGGAGGCTGCTCCGCCCGGCGCCGCACCACTTTGGCGCTTCAGGGGTTACTTTCAGATTGTCAGGGACGAGCCTAGGGCAGCGAACGCCCCAGTGCTCACCCATATTGCCAGCACCTGCCTTCTGCGTTCACCAGCATTATCACTATTTTCCTGAGGGTTGTCGCGTCGGATGAAGGTGGTGAAGACATGCAGAGTGCAGGGGTGGAGGTGGAGATTGGAGCCAGATAGGATTGATCCCCAGAGCCAAATGGGATTTAAAGGTGGGGGAGAGGACATCCAGATGACAGTGTGGTCAGTTGATGCCAAACTGGAAGGTTGAGACACCTCTGCAGCCCACAGGAAATAAAGGGGGTTGGGCTTAATGAAATTCTAGTCCATCATTCTCAAAGCTATAAACACAGAAAACCTTCTGTTCCTTCTCAGGCTCTCGAGAAGCTGATTTTGTAGGAGTAGGACTGTCTTCCTGTCTCATATGCACTTGCCCTCTCTATCCTCCCTGAGTGTTCTATGAATATGGCAGGGTCATGTCGAGCCACAGCTCTTACTTGACAAGGTCCCTTTGGAGAAGTAGGCTAAGGGGTTGGCCTGCCCTACTGGGTGCCTCCATTTGGGGAGTCCCATGCTGGGGAGCCTTGGCAGGCTGCCAGCCTCTTCTGACCTTTGTCCAGCCCGAAGCCTCTATTTCTGCCAACTGAATCATCCTAGCTGGTGGGCGATAGGGTGGGAGAGAAGCTTATGAGTTGCGGACTTATGGATGTGGGGCTCATGCTGTGTCCTCTCTCTTTATCCCTCAGCGTGAATGCATCTCAGTCCATGTGGGGCAGGCAGGTGTCCAGATGGGCAATGCCTGCTGGGAGCTCTATTGTCTGGAACATGGGATTCAGCCTGATGGGCAAATGCCCAGTGACAAGACCATTGGTGGAGGGGATGATTCCTTCACTACCTTCTTCTGTGAAACCGGCGCTGGAAAGCACGTGCCCCGGGCAGTTTTTGTGGATTTGGAGCCCACTGTAATTGGTGAGAGGAAGAGGGGAGGGATGAGGGGAGTGAAGAGTGACTCTAAGCTTCTCTCTGGAGAGAAGGTGTCTAGACCTGGCTTTCCTGGCCCTGAAAACTCCTCACCCAGTTTCAATGTAAAGAAGGCAAGCTAGTTACAGGCTGGTGCAGTAGGTCTTGGGCAGTAGGTCTGGGTTTCCTCACATGCTGGTTATCTCACACTGGCAGAAGGATGAGCTTCCACAATCTGACTGCAGCTACCACGCTGAGGGAGGGAGGTCCCTGCTGAGCACAGCCTTGTGGTTTCTGCCTTAACGATGTGGTTTATGCCCTTCCAGATGAGATCCGAAACGGTCCATACCGGCAGCTCTTCCACCCAGAGCAGCTCATCACTGGGAAAGAGGATGCCGCAAATAACTATGCTCGTGGTCACTACACCATCGGCAAGGAGATCATTGACCCAGTGTTGGACCGGATCCGCAAGCTGGTAAGAGTCTGGCATGGAAGGGAGGAAGCTTTTGAGGCAGTGCTCATAGTCAGGAACATTTTTTTTTTCAGCTCCTTTTCAGGGGTCATCTATATTTGTACATGTTCCAGAGTGTGCTACTTCATTAATCTTTGTCCTGGCTCTTAAGATATTTAGACTTTTGTGGAGCTAGAAGATAAGAGTTCCTCAGGCCCCTCTCTAACCTACATTACTCTTTCTCTTTCTTGACTTTTAGTCAGACCAGTGCACAGGACTTCAGGGCTTCCTGGTCTTCCACAGCTTTGGGGGGGGCACCGGCTCCGGCTTCACCTCGCTCCTGATGGAGCGGCTCTCTGTTGACTATGGCAAGAAATCCAAGCTGGAGTTCTCCATCTACCCAGCACCGCAGGTGTCCACAGCCGTGGTCGAGCCCTACAACTCCATCCTGACCACCCACACCACCCTGGAGCACTCGGACTGTGCCTTCATGGTGGACAACGAAGCCATCTACGACATCTGCCGCCGCAACCTGGACATCGAGCGCCCGACCTACACCAACCTCAACCGCCTCATCAGCCAGATCGTCTCCTCCATCACAGCCTCCCTGCGCTTCGACGGGGCCCTCAACGTGGACCTGACAGAGTTCCAGACCAACCTGGTGCCCTACCCTCGCATCCACTTCCCCCTGGCCACCTATGCACCGGTCATCTCTGCAGAGAAGGCCTACCACGAGCAGCTGTCGGTGGCAGAGATCACCAATGCCTGCTTCGAGCCTGCCAACCAGATGGTGAAGTGTGATCCGCGTCACGGCAAGTACATGGCCTGCTGCCTGCTGTACCGTGGAGACGTGGTGCCCAAGGATGTCAATGCTGCCATTGCCGCCATCAAGACCAAGCGCAGCATTCAGTTCGTGGACTGGTGCCCCACGGGCTTCAAGGTTGGTATCAACTATCAACCACCCACTGTGGTGCCCGGGGGCGACCTGGCCAAGGTGCAGCGTGCCGTGTGCATGCTGAGCAACACGACCGCCATCGCCGAGGCCTGGGCCCGCCTGGACCACAAGTTCGACCTGATGTATGCCAAGAGGGCATTTGTGCACTGGTATGTGGGTGAGGGCATGGAGGAGGGTGAGTTCTCTGAGGCCCGGGAGGATATGGCTGCCTTGGAGAAGGATTACGAGGAAGTAGGCATCGACTCCTATGAGGACGAGGATGAAGGAGAAGAATAGAACAGCTGCCTGGAGCACACTCACTATGTTTATTGCAAAATCCTTTAGAAATAAACAGTCTCCTTGCACGGTTTCTTGTTCCCTCTGTGACTGCTTGAGCTTTTGTTGCCTTCCTCTCTGTGCTGCTGCTGCTGCTTCTGCTGCTGCTTCTGCTGCCCTATTTGCTGCTCATGACCCTTTTTCCTTCCATGCTGAAGGAAGACGTACCAAGGGGCCCTTGCCAGGCCCAGGAAACATGACCCCAGGGACCTTGATGTGAGTGAGATCTTAAGGGCACCCAGGATAAGGAGAAAATGAGGAACGAATCCTGGACCCGTCTGTCCAGCCACAAGCTATTGAAGGATACGAGTCTTCACTTCCTTAAACTTCCAAATAGGAGTTTAATTCTGCTGCCCTATTTGCTGCTCATGACCCTTTTTCCTTCCATGCTGAAGGAAGACGTACCAAGGGGCCCTTGCCAGGCCCAGGAAACATGACCCCAGGGACCTTGATGTGAGTGAGATCTTAAGGGCACCCAGGATAAGGAGAAAATGAGGAACGAATCCTGGACCCGTCTGTCCAGCCACAAGCTGTTGAAGGATACGAGTCTTCACTTCCTTAAACTTCCAAATAGGAGTTTAAGTCTAGCAGTTTCTGTATTTGAGTTAGACTACTACTCTGTTCTTCCTGCTGCTTCTGCATTCACCAACTCGAAGCAGGGCTTGGCCAGCACCTCTGTGCATTATGAAGGCTGAGCTGGCCCAAAGTTCCTGGGCACAGAGCCTAGTCATAAGCTTGGGGGAAGGGAGGGAACAAGGGCCATCTCCTAGTTGTTTGTGTCACTGCACCTCCCAGCAGCTTTGCATAGCTTGTCTGTTTTGCAGCTTTGCTGAGGCCTAAGGCTGTGCCATTAAAAGTCAGGTCATCTCCCCTTTGTTTGTGCTTTCTTTCTGGCCTCAGCCTCTGCCCTAGCTGGTGGGAGCCTCCTGCTGGGGCCCTGGGGAAAATTTCAACTTTTCTAATAGGCACCCCAGGACCCACACCGACATCACCATGTGGGGGTAGGCAGGGTTGGGGTAAGAAGCTTCAATTTGCAGAGCAAGAGATGCCAACCCTGCCCTTGCCTCCCCTCCCTGTGATTCAGGGACACAGTGCCCTTCCCTGGGGAACAGGTTTCAAGCCCAGCTAAGGCAGGGCCCCTGTTTACTCAGCAGAGTAGGCAGGAAGTGGCAGCCGGATATATTGCCATACCACACTGGCGTTATTAATCGTTAACTATGTGTGAGCTAGAACCATCTGGGAGAGACTGGGCCAAAATGGCTGTCACCTCCACTCCCTTTGCCCGCAGGCTGAGTCTGGGAGACCTGTTATGTAGCTGTCCCAAAGCTTCCTCAGATGTCTCCACCCAGAAGCCCTTGCCTGGCAAACTGGCTGGGCTGCTCTGACTAAGCTACCCACCCTTGGGAAAGAAGGAAAGAATGAGCTGAATGCCTTTAGGGGACCCTGATCACAGTTCTTGGCATAGAAGTCTACTCAAGCCAGAGCAGCTTTAAGTTTTTGACTAAGACAAGCTAGAAGGACTGCCCACTACCAACCACCATATCTAAGGTAAGGATACTTGCCCCCTGGCATGGAATGATGAAGTCATGCTATTCCTAACTCTACACCAGTACCTCTTCTTCCCAGGCTGTTCTCTTGGAAATGGCAACCAGACTTTGGGCGCCTTGTACCTCTGCTCTCACTCCAGGAACAATGAGACTAAGATCCATACCAAGCTGCTTTCACTTTATTTCTTCTATTTATACATTCTCCTGCTCCCAGATTTGGAGGCAGACCATGATGTAAGCTCAGCAGTCCTGCCCATGGCCTTTATTAGATTCTATCAGTTTCCCTTTCCCCATCCCCCACCCTCACCTGCTCCAACTCAGACTCCCTATCCAGTTCTTAAGGATAAGAGAGCAGAGACAGAAGACTGGGCTGAGTCTCCCCATCCCCTGCCCCACCCCCAACTACAAGAGAGCAGGCCTTGATAAAAGGAGAGAGATTCTAGTAAGGGATGAGGGCCTCTTTCAAAGGCACAGGGGGCCACCTTCTCAATGTGGCCACTGGTTTGCTCAGATTTGGGTAGTGTGCTGGCCTGGAGCTGGGGGTTGCAGAGCCTCTAACTGACTGAGGATAAGAGGAATGTGAGGTCGCTGCTGGGGGTCCACAGTCATCATTGAGGCCAGCAGCTGCCGCATCGCTGAAGAATGCCTGTGGAGATAGGAGGGCAGGGTAACTGGGGACACCCATCCCCCATGCTGAGGCTCCACCTCTGCTAGTGTCAAGGAGAGTCTGAAATACTTCATGCCCCTTTTATTGCTCACCTGGGGCTTTGCGGGATGCTGAGTTGGTTCTGTACAGCGAGGGCCACACTGTCACCTTTCTGGAACACCATGTCATAAGGGCCTTCCCCAAACATCATGGCATACAGCACACAGCCTAGGGACTGAGCATAACTTGGTTATTGCATGGAAGGGGATGATGACTCTCCTCTTAGTTCTATAGTAAAAGGAGTCTACATAAGCTAAAAGGATTATGCCAACCTCAGCCACATGACACTACCAGGGCCCAGAGAAAACTGCCAGTTAGCTGGAGGCCTCCTCAACCCTTGCTTAGGCACTGCCTTCAGCCCTGACACTTAGCTGTGCCAACTCTGTTCAAAGGGCAGGGTTATACCACTTCCTGAACAACTGAGTACAGTGTCAGTGGCAGTTCCCAGGAAGGAAGTCGAGGGGGATTAGGCCATACTTGGTTCCTGGGGCCCCATGCACTTGAAACCAAAGGCCTGCTCCTCTACTCCCCAATAGGTACAGAGGAGCATTCCTCCCCACACAGATTCCCACCCACATACTCCATACCCAGACATCAGTCCGCTCATCGATGACACAGTGGCTCTGCACGGAGAAGAGCTCTGGCGCCCGGTAGGAGATGGTGCACCGCTGGGCTGCCCAGTCCTGAAACAGAGCTCAAAAGTGGGGCACAGGCCATGGTCATGTGACCAAATTGGGGCATGCACCAGAAGTGGTCAGGGATGGGGAACAGGTGAACAAAGGAACCTAGAGACTCTTACCTGCAGGGCCAGAGCCTGGCGGGAATTTTCCACATGGATGCATGCTTGATTCATGGAACCCAAGTCCATTAAAACCGGCTGCCCCCCATCTCCAAGCAAGATATTGGTGGGCTTCAGGTCCCTGTCAGAAAGTGGAAATGACCTATGAGCATCCCTAGACAGAAAGGGTAGAATCCCAGGGGGCAAAAGAATCATGAGGACTGACCCTTGGGAGGAGAGCAGAGACCTCTCATTTCTCTTGGTGGGGCTCTTCCTTTCTGCCCCCAAAAGAACACAGGGCCCTCCCACTGACCTGTGGGCATAACCCTGGGCATGAATGGCCTCAAGGCCTCTGCAGATACCCAGCAGCAGCTGAAGGATTTGTTCTTCAGTCAAGAAGTTGCTTTTGTCTTTCAGCCTTTCTATCTCGTTCCACAGCGTACCTCTCTGCAACACAAGTGTCCCCACAGTTGATGTTTTTCAAGTCTCTGCTCCCTGAACCTGATCCCTTCCCTGTGTCAAAAGCCTATCACCACACAAAACCCTTTCACCACACACACTACATACACCATAGTACCACCTTGATTCCTCTAAACCCCAAATCTTAAGTGGTCAAACCAGGACATGGCCTCTGCTTCCTAACATACTTGACTACTCACACAGCATTTCGTACATGGCTCTGTTGCAACCCCCTCCATAGCCAGGAAACTTTCTGACCTTGAAAAAGGGTAGCAGCAGCCAGGCCTCATGTTTAGTGCCCCGCTCCCTCAGACAATAAGCCACAAGGTGAAGGATGTTAGGGTGATGGAAGAGGTGATGCATGTCTGCTTCTCGTTGGGCCTCCTCCCGGTCCTGCTGCTCGTGACACAGGATTCGCTTCAAGGCGTAGAAGTGTCCATCATGTAACCCCTCCACTAGATCCACATAGCTGAACCCACTGTGGGCCAAAGGGGTCAGTGAAGGACCATGGTCATCTCCCACACTGCTTGGACCCAGAGGAATTCCCTAGGGAGAAGAGGGGGTATCTTTCCCATTTAGTAGAAACCCTCCCAAGATATGGCTCTAAGAAGAGTCTGAAGACTATTACTACACTTTGAGCCCAAGAGCTGGGACACAGTAATCTTTGAGTTCCTATGGTCATAACCCAGTGCTCTGCACATGACAGATGCTCAATAAGCATTAAATGATTAATAGTCAACATTTATCAAGTGCTGTGAACCAGGCACCGGCGAGACATTTTATATGCATTATCTCATTTAAACCTCACAGCTCCAGCAGTGATGCAAGACAGTAATTATCTCCATTAAGCAGATGAAGAAACCAGGGTTTATAAAGGTGGATCTATGAGGCCTGGATCCAGAATCTACTTTCCTGACTAACATGTCACTAGGGTGTCAGGTGTGTTTGTAGAGTATGTTAGAGGATAAAATCTTTATGCCCCTATCATGTGCAGACTGCTGTCCTCAAATCACCATAACCCCGGGGACTAGGTAAGTGATTTCCAAACACTCACCCCTCCCCCAGTTTCTGGATGAAGAGGTAGCGCTTATTGTCAATGATGACAGTTCCCCGAGAGCAGACACACAGCGCGTGGCCCATAGTGTCTCAGTCATCCTTCTTAAAGACGGTCTGAGGCTGCCAAAAGGTTCGTCCAGGTTAAGTGGGCTTTTCCAGGAGATGTGCTGGGGGTCCAGCGGATCATGCTGGAAAGAAAAGAACGGCAGGGTCGCAGGTCGGGCACAATCCAGATGCCCCTTGAAGTACCAAAGTTGAAAGCTCAGGCCCAGGTCTCGGAGCCTAGAGAAAACGAGTCATGGCGATACCAAGGCTGAGATGAGGTGCTTTAAAGCCTTAGGTCACCCTTCCACTACCAGACAGCTTCCTCCACCCCCAGCCCACATTTGGGCGGCCCCGGCTCCCACGCCCGTCGGGCCGCAAAGGCAGGGTACAGGGTAGTTCCGGGAAGCGGGAGGGTGCGAGGTTCCGGCCCATCCCTTGCAGAGCCCACCCCAAGCCTCGGCGCGTAGACCCCAGGTAGGCCAGCTCGGCTTCCCCACTAACCTGACACCGGCGGGAGGCAAGCGCCAGGGCACCGGAAGCAGTGGTTTCGTCATCATTCCGCGCAAGCGTAACGGCCCGTGGTAGCCTAGCAACCGCTTGGCATCCGGATGATGTGGGGGCGCGGAACTGACAGGCAGGGGGCCGGCTAGGCCTGCGGGAGGACGGGTCCCAGGACCCGGGTAAGGGTTCCACACCTGGCCTTCAGTAGGGGTCAAGACGCAGGCACCTACGCCAAGGGGGAGCAAAGCCGGGCTCGGCCCAAGGCCCCCAGAACCTCCATTTCCCAATGCCGGAGGTAGGAGGCTTCATACCTCCCGCGCGCTGGATAGCCCACTACAGTCCTGTCCCGGGGTGTGTGCGGGGATGCAGGGAGGGGCGGGTGTTGGCGGCCTTGACCCCTGGAGCTCCGATCAGTACAACCTTGGGGGCTCTGGCCTGTTTCCCACTACCCTAGTCTCAGCGGTTAAGAGCTCAGGCTTTGAAATCAGACTAGGGTCTAAATCTGATCTTAGTAGCCTACAGGCTGTGTGACCTCGGACAAGTTATTTAACCTCTCGGATCCTCACTTTCCCTAACTGTAAAATAGATATACTAGTACCTAAGGTTAAGTGCATGAACCATGAGACCAGACTGCCTAATTCAAATCCCAGCTCTACTAAACTAGTTGTGTGATCTTGCACAGGCTACTTAATATTTCTATCCCTCCATTTCCTTATCTGTAAAAAGCAAATTATAATTATCTACCTTATGGAGTTGTTTGAAGATTAAACAATATGTAAAGTGCCTAGTACAATACCTGACACATAGCCCTCAGTGTCAATAGAAGTAATAATTATAACAATACTAACCATTATTATTATGATTACCCTAATCATCACATCCCAGGCTCGAGACTGTGAAGGCAGGAGTAATGGAAATTACAAATTCCCAAGCCTCGGCAGGAAGCAGCTGTCCTTGACAGCTCTTGCCCAGGCTGGCAGGGATAAATTGGAAAGGAGTTCACATCCAAAGAAGATGAAATGGCCTGGATGGTCTCTTTTGCTGAAGTAGGCTCTTCAGGAAAAACATCCCTTTTGTAACTTGGTTCCCCCATCTGCCTCCTCTTTCAGGTCACTGGGAAGTTCTTTCTATAGTTTTCCTTGGTTCTGAACCTGTTTTAGCCCCCTGATTCTGACATGCATCCAGATTGAATCTGTTATGTGCCAGGCCCTGTGCTAGCAGCTGAGGATTCAAGATGGACAAGGCACTCCCAACCCTTTGGGAGCTCAGTCTAGTAGAGCACAGCTTCTCAATCTTCAATGTGCTGAGGATTGCCTGGGAATCTTGTTAAAATACAAAGTCTGATTTTACAGGTCTGAGGTAGGACCTGAGACTGCGTTTCTAACAAGCTCTCAGGTGACGCTGATGAAGCTGGCTCAAGATGTAGAGGATTTTACAAACTAGTAGAGTCGTGGGAGACAAAGTCTAGGCTAATCGCCTGCCAACTTGGGGTGGTCTCCGCCCCTTCTTGCTCGCTGAGGTTCCCTCCCAGGAATCTGCCACGTGACAGTCAAACTGCTGTCTCTGACTATAGGAGCCCTGTAAGCGCCATGGATCCCAAGAAGCCACTCTGCCTTCCCTCCCTTCTGCTGCCGCTTCTGACGCTGCTGCTGCCCCAGGTAAGATAAGAAGGTTGAACCAGACGGCTGGGTGCGGTGAGGCCGGAGCAGATGTGGCGTAGGGAAGAAAGTGAAAACAAAACAGTGGCAGACGCTAGTTCCAACTTCCCTGCTCTTGGCAGCTGACACTCCCCGCCTCCCTGCCCCTACTCAAGACCTCTGCTGAGCGAAGTCTTTCCCTTTGCAGGCAGACACTCGGTCATTCGTAGTGGACCGAGATCATGACAGATTCCTCTTGGACGGGGTTCCGTTCCGCTACGTGTCTGGCAGCCTGCACTACTTTCGGGTACCGCGGGTGCTTTGGGCAGACCGGCTTTTCAAGATGCGAATGAGTGGCCTCAACGCCATACAGTTGTAAGAAGTGCTCGGGATAGCCATGGAGGGGTGGGATTTACTCTTCCTGGCACCTGCTTCAGAAGGGTGTCAGGACAGGAAGACTGGCTGGATATGAGAAGGGTTAGAGCTCCAGGGCTTCCAGGCTAAGGGTGGGAAAGGACCCCAGAACCTCCTTCCACCAGCTTCCTGGAGATTCCTTACAAGGCCTGAGCCTTTAGCTTCCCGGGCATCTCTCCAGATGACCTCCTTGGGCCTGGTTAACCTCTTCCTTTCTCAGTTATGTGCCCTGGAACTACCATGAGCCAGAGCCTGGGGTCTATAACTTTAATGGCAGCCGGGATCTCATTGCATTTCTGAATGAGGCAACTATTGCGGACCTGTTGGTCATACTGAGGCCAGGACCTTACATCTGTGCAGAGTGGGAGATGGTGAGTTAAATGGGGAAAAGAAAGAACCAAAGCCACCTATGTGGGGTTCCTAGGCTACTCCCTTCTGCCCACACCCTAGAGCCACTTCCAGCACTACACGACTTCCTCCCTTCCTACCTCCCCTAGACAACAAAACCAACATGCCTCTTTGTTGCTCTATGTTTGTCTCAGGGGGGTCTTCCATCCTGGTTGCTTCGTAAACCTAGTATTCATCTGAGAACCTCAGATCCAGGTGAGTTGAGACAAAAGATTTAACAGAAAAAAGCAAACAACGACAAAATGGGTCAGTTGGGTGCCCCAAAGAGACCATCCCCAAATCATTTATTTAAATATTTATTGAGTATTTCCTTCATGCCCAGCAGGCTGCTAGAAACTGGGCACCAGACAGACTCAGTCCCTGTTCAATGGAGCTTATAATATAGTGGGAGAAACAGACTTTTAGAGAAACCAAAAACCTATAACATTATTGCAAGCTATAAAAATACCACACAAGAAAATAGACGAGGAGTTGACATAGTGAATAACAAAGAGGACCTCTTTTAGGTAGGAAGGTCAGAAAAGGCTTTTCTGAAAAAATGACATTCAGTTGACTTTAGGGAAGGGAAAGCTCTGGTCATATGAAGAGCGAGGTGAGAAGGACCAGGCAGTGAGGATGGTATATTCTAAGGCCCAGAGATGGGAAAGAACATGGCATGGTTGAGGCCAGCATAGCTGGAGCATAGTGGGTAAAGGAGAGAGTAGTATGATGTGAAATTGGAGATATATAGGGATTGTTGATGCAGGACCTTGTAGGCCATTGGAAGGGGTTTGCATTTATTCTCAGAACAGTGGAAAGTCCTTGAAAAAGTTGAAGGAGTTTAACCAGAGATGTGACATGATCTGATTACTTTAGCCTGGACATGGAGAATGGACTAAGGGGAGTAAGGGTGGAGGTGGAGAAACCATTTGGGAGACTATGCCTGTAGTTGAGGAGAGAGATGATGGCTTCTGGACCAGGGTGGTGGCAGTGGCAGTGAAAAGAAGAAGGCAGAACTGCGATATAGGTTGGAGATAAAATCACCAGGACTTGTTGATAGATTTTGATGAAAAGGTGTCAGGGATAGGGGCAATTTGAGTAGGGTCCAGAAAGAAAGGAATGAAGTTTCTGGCCAATCAAGATGGTGGTGACAGGGAGGGTAGAGAACACCGGGAATGGTAAAGGAACGACTTTTTGTAATGTGATAGAAACTGAATGGGACCAGTTCCATTCTGATCATGTTCAATTTTTATCACATCATACTCAAGTGAGAATATTAAGTAAGCAATGAGATGTTTAAATTGTGGCATTTAGGGGGTGGTCTGAGTTAAAGATATAAATTTGGGAGTCATCAGTCTAAAGATGGCAGTTAAATCCATGGGTACTGAGATATCGCCTACGGAAAGAATGTAGAACTCAAGATTAAGCTCTGAGATGCTCAATATTTCAAGTTTAGATTTAATTGCAGGTGCAAATAGGAAGTCATTAGAGCAAGGGAATAATTTTATTTCATTTATACCTTTTAAAAAGATCACTCTGGTAAATGCTTTATATTTGCTGAGGACCCTCCAGGTGCTGTGCCACTTCTTAGGATCCTGGAGAGCTTTATGCTCCTTATGGCATTACCCAAACTCGATGATGATAAAATGATAGAGTATTGATTTGATGTAATACCAACATGCAATCTGTTTTTCTCAAGAAAACCGGTGACCTCTTCATTGTTAAATCCATAGTTATTTCTCAGGCCTCGTCCTTCTTGATCAGTTAGCAGCATTTAGCACAGTTGATCACTCTGTCCCCTGAAATAAATTCTTATCTTGGCTTCCATGCCACACTTATCTGCTCTTTACCCTTTTCCCCCACAGTCTCTCTGACCACTCCTCAGTCCCTTATTGGTTCTTCTCCATTTCCCTTTCTGCTAAATGCTTGAGTGTTTCAGGGCACAGTTCTTGGATGCTTCTCTTTTCTATGTTCGTGCCCTGGATAATTTCATCCATTTGCATGGCTTTAAATTCCATCTAATAGCTAATAACTTTGAAGTATGTATATCTAGTCAGGACCTTCTTTTGGCCTCCAAAAACTATATATCCAGCTGCCTATTTGACTTCTTTGAAATCTAAAAGGCGTAATGATACAACTAAGCTCCTGGTATTGGCTCCCAAACCGGCTATTCCTTCAATCTCCCCAGCTCAGTTAATGGCAACTCTACATTCCAACCAATTGGACTAAACACTGTGGTATAATTTTTTATGCCTATCTTTCTGTCGTACCCCACATTCAATCTATCAGAAAATCCTGTCAGCTTTACCCTCAAAATATATTGAATTCAACTACTTTTTTTATCACCTCCACTGCCACCACCCTGGTCCAAACCATCTCTCTCAGCTGGATTATTTTAATAGCTTCCTAACTGGTTTCCCTTCTTTGTCCCTCCCCATGCAGTCTATTCTCAATACAGCAGCCAATGCGATCCTTTTAAAATAGATTTAAATATATATCAGATCATGTCATTTCTCTGCTTTAACCTCTCCAATAGGTTCTAATCTCATTCAGAATATGTACCATAGATTCCTTAAAATGGTCTGCTAGGTCTTACCTGCTTGGCCCAGCCACCTCCTTGACATCTACTCTTCTCATTGTTCACATTGGCTTCGCTGCTGTTCTTCAAACCCACCAGGCACAAGGTGCTCCCTCCATCTTCCTGTGGAATGACCTCAGTGAGGCCTTCCCTGGACCACCCTCTAAAATTCAAGCTACCCTACCCCGCCATTTTATGTCCTCCTTCCCTGCTTATTGTTTTCCCTCGGCATTAGCTCACTATATATTTTACCTATTTATTATCTGCTTCCCTTACTGGAAAGGAAATTCCACAAGGGCAGAGATTTTTGTCTATTTTGTTCTATCTATACCCCTAAGACTTAGAATAGTGCTTGGTGTATAGTCAGCACCCATAAATATTTGTTGAATGAGATTTAATGTGTGCTTGGATTAAAGAAGGCAATACAACCTGGGTCTCCTTTATACAGAATACAATACATAAAGGAATTAAAATACAAAAATATCCTCCAAAATAACTTTCATCAAATCTACCTTTGAGAGTCTACTATCTGTAAGGCATTGTCCTCAATGACGGAGACAAAGCAAACGAAGCTGACAAAGTTCCTGCTTTCTAGTTGAGGAGACCAACAGGAAATAATCACAGAAATACATGCTTAATTATAATTAGTCGTGTACTTGAAAGAGAAGTATGAGGTGACATGAGTGTGTAACAGGGATCTACCCTAATCTGAGATATCAAAGGCTTTTTTGAGGAAGTGAAATATAAGTTAAGACCTGAAGCCTGATTTGGAGTTGGCTAAGTGAAGAGGGCAGGGAGGAAGTATCAGGCAGAGGTAATAACATGCACGAAGACACTGAGGACGAATCAACAAAAATCACAAATAGGCGTTGAGAACTTAAGGCATGGTACCTAATATAATAATCTTTCAATTGATGACTTAAATCACCTGGACTCTCAGTTATATCAAAGTGCATGTCAGACATTCTACATTTCTGTGAATTGCCATGCTATTTCATAGCAATATCAAGTATACACTGATTACATATTAATAGCTCCATAAAATGCATTTAACATTTTTCTTACGTTTAAAAAATAAATCTATAAGAAACACTGCTTTGTTTCCTATGCTCAAACTTCATTGCTATGCAAATATACAAGTGCTTAGGGTTGAGATCTTCTTCTGGCAAGAGTAACTGCTGCTAAGATTTAGTTGTAGACAAGTGGGATGCAAACAGGAGCCCAGAGTTCAAGCAGCACTGAAGCTGCTAACATTAATGCTAGGGATGGGGGCTGTGGAGGTGGTGGCACCCTAATGAGCAGAGCACTTCTCCTTCCTTTAGACTTCCTTGCTGCAGTGGATTCCTGGTTCAAGGTTTTGCTACCCAAGATATATCCATGGCTCTACCACAATGGAGGCAACATCATTAGCATTCAGGTACAGGTGGAAAGTTGACTGGGCAAGAGGAAGGTGGTGCCAGGGGTTCTTAACCTCTCCTCATAGCCGAGTTCTACTTTTCCTTTCCCCTGGCAGGTGGAGAATGAATATGGTAGCTACAGGGCCTGCGACTTCAGCTACATGAGGCACCTGGCTGGGCTCTTCCGTGCACTACTAGGAGACAAGATCTTGCTCTTCACCACAGATGGGCCTGAAGGACTCAAATGTGGCTCCCTTAAGGGACTCTATACCACTGTAGATTTTGGCCCAGGTCTCCTGAGCAAGGGTTACGAGCGGAGTCTGGGGAAGGGGCACCTCTTCTTTGATGTTTACCTTTCACCTTTGCCTCCTTTCTGCAGCTGACAACATGACCAAAATCTTTGCCCTGCAAAGGAAGTATGAACCCCGTGGGCCATTGGTAAGGAGTCAGAAGGGAGGGCAATCAATGCAGGAGTCAGGGTTGGAAACGGGTCGAGCTCGGATCTCACCTCGCTCGTGGCTCCTTTCGCTTCACATTCTAGGTGAACTCTGAGTACTATACAGGCTGGCTGGATTACTGGGGCCAGAATCACTCCACACGGTCCATTCCATCTGTAACTCAAGGACTAAAGAACATGCTGAAGTTGGGAGCCAGTGTGAACATGTAACTGGAGACACTGGGGTCAACATGAATCTGTAACTGGGAGTTGGGGATGAAAGTTAAGAATCAATGGGTCAGCTTGTACCTTTCTCTCTGCCCTCCCCCACTTCAGGTACATGTTCCATGGAGGTACCAACTTTGGATACTGGAATGGTGAGTCCAGATGGTCCTTGGGGCTGAAGCAGGGATGTAGCAATGAAGTAGAATCTGAGGTCTGGGTGGATTACTGTGTCTAGAAGCTGGATATGGCCATCGTTGCCTTCTTTGATGGCAAAACTCTCTGCATGAATCTTTGTTTGGTGCCTATCATCTGTCTGAAAGACATATTGAATTAAATTGATTTGACCCCAGGTGCTGATGAGAAAGGACACTTCCTTCCAATTACTACCAGCTATGACTACGATGCACCAATATCTGAAGCAGGGGATCCCACACCTAAGCTTTTTGCTCTTCGAAATGTCATCAGCCAGGTGCCCTACCACTTCATTAAGCGCTAAAGGCTTTTATTAATTTAGGGAAAGGGAGTGTCTAAATTGTATGTAAAGGAATCCCAGAAATCAGTGGTGGTTGTCTGGTCCAGAGAGCACTTTGAGCATCCTGTGGAAGTATTTCCCACCCATCCAAATAAGACTACCTGGGGAGATACACAGAAGTATGTGCAAAATTACAGGATCTTCATGACTCCTAAAGCCCTTCCCTGGACCCCAGGTTTAGAACTCTGTGCTAGGGTCTTGAAATAGGGGTTGTGTGGTTTTCCTATGGTTCCTGAGAGAATTTGGGCTCAGTTCCAGGAAATTCCCTTGGGACCTTTACCTCCCCCCAGCCCCAAGATGATGCTTGGACCTTTGACCCTGCACATGGTAAGCTCCTCCCCATCTCTTCTGATTCTACCCTGTTATTCTCTGAATAGCCCTGTGTTCTAAAACTTCTTATATTCTGATACTACCACCTTATTCTAATAGGATGGAAATTTGCTGAATTTCCTGTACTTCCTGTGCCCCCAAGGGCCCATCCATTCAATCTTGCCAATGACTTTTGAGGCTGTCAAGCAGGTAAGGCATAATCCCACATCCGGTTGGTCGGTAAGGTAACCTTCCTCAACAGCTGTAGCCAAAGGTTCCCTAAGTTCCGCATCTTCCACACAGTATATTTTATCTCTCAGTTCATCTTAAGTACTCATTCTTCTACACCCAGGACCATGGCTTTATGTTATACCGGACCTATCTAACCCGTAATATTTTTGAGCCAACACAATTCTGGGTGCCAAACAACGGAGTCCATGACCGTGGCTACGTGATGGTGGATGGGGTAAGGACCTGATTCCAAGCTACCTTGTGAGCCCATTTCCTCTCCTCCCAAGCACCCTTTAGCCTCAAGTTCCACCCATCTACCTTTTGCCACTGCCTGCCCTCATTTGGGGATAAGCTGGGAAAAGGAAGTTTGACTAAGGGTAAGGTTCCAGAGTGGACTGTGACTGACAGATGGACTTCATTCTCTTTGCTCTCCAAATAAGTATCCAAACGTGGCCAAGAGCTAGATGCGGAGCTCTTCCTCTCATAGATCCTCTTATCCACAGGTGTTTCAGGGTGTTTTGGAACGAAACATGAAATACAAACTATTTTTGACGGGAAAAGTGGGGGCCAAACTGGATGTCTTGCTGGAGAACATGGGAAGGCTCAGTTTCGGGTCTAACCACAGTGACTTCAAGGTGAGCTAGCATTGCCTACCATGCTCTTATTGACCAAACTCCCGTGGAAAGATAGGGGCCTGATGCAAAGTGGTTTGTCTGGATCTGGACATGCTGCTAGTTGCTTGATTAGGGATAGTCTGGCCTTAGAGCTTATTAAACGATGAATTTTCATTTGCCTTCTTCACAGGGCCTATTAGAGCCACCAATTCTAGGGCAAAGAATTCTCACCCAGTGGCTGATGTTCCCTCTGAAAGTTGATAAGCTTGTAAAGTGGTGGTTTCCCCTCCAATTGCTGAAAAGGTCACGTCCTCAAACTCCCTCTGGCCCCACCTTCTACTCTACAACGTTTAAAATTTTAGACTCAGGCGGGGACACATTTCTCTTTCTACCTGGATGGACCAAGGTATTGCTGACAGTGGTGGTCGTGCTGGGGGGTGAGGGAGTGATAAGAGAGGAAAATCATGGAAGGGGGAGCAGAAATTTTTCTGATTAGAAAAACAAAAGGGGATGATTCTACTCCCTTTCAGAGCTGACTATTTATTTTCCTCTCTCCTCCCTCTTTCCCAGGGCCAAGTGTGGATTAATGGGTTTAACTTGGGCCGGTACTGGACAAAGTGGGGGCCACAGCAGACCCTCTACGTACCAAGACCCCTGCTGCTTCCTAGGGGAGCTCTCAACAAAATCACATTGCTGGAGCTAGAAAACGTGCCTTCCCAACCCCAAATCCAATTTCTGGATAGTCCTATCCTCAATAGCACCTCGCATAAGACATATATCTATTCCCTCTCAGCTGATACACAAAGTGCCTCTGAACCAATGGAGTTAAGTGGGCACTGAAAGAAAGGTAACCCTTGGACCTGGGACAATGGAGTGGGCAGGATCCCTTGGTACTAGCCACGGTGACCATAAGGAACTAAAGGCCACAGGCCTGAATGTAAGTACAAGTGCAGTTTCCTTGCCAAACTTTATTGTGATTAAAGTTCCAGAGACAGTACCAGCTCCACACACCTCTGTGACCCTATCTTTGCCCTAGTTCCTGAATGCCCCTCACCCTAATATCTCAAATTCTCTAGTTTCCCGGGGAAGAAGAAACCTAGGGCCAGTGTGAATGTGCTCTCTCAAGGCCCACAGTTGGCTCCAGTTGGAGCTGTAAGAGATCAGGAAGAAGGCTTCCCAGCCCGACAGCGATGATCCTGGAGGCAGCGTGTGGAGCAGAAAGAGAAGTCAAGGTAGTGAAAGGGAATGAGGCCTTGGAGGGATGTCCCGCAATTCCAGCAGCGTCTGAACAAGAAGAAGAAAATTAGATGGACAGCTACCCCAGAAACTTTCCAAATCAAGTTCTCCCTGTCCCTCCTTTTGGCATTGCTGTTTTCATTCCAAAGGTTCGCAGAACTTCTCAAATCCCCTCAACATCCTTTCTGTGTAGGCACTCATTCTCCTTGCCCAAATATGGTCTACCCATCACTCCTCCTCCATATACCGAGCATTGACGATTGCGGAGTCAGGGACCAGAGGTGCAGGGGCTCCCAACTGGGCAGCTAGACGGCGCTCTGCAGCCAGAGCTCTCTGAGGGGAAGAGAAGTTGTGTTAAGGACAAGTCCCCGGTGGTGGATAGGGTACCCAAGAAGTGACAGCTGCACACTGGGAAGGGATCAGACCTCTAAGGAAGTCTCGCTATGGAAGAGAAAACCTCCAGCCTCACCTTCTCTCTATCGCTGAGAGCCGCAAATCGCTGCTGCTCTTCTTGCTCCCTCTTCTCCTGCTCCCGCTGCTTCCGCTGCTGTTCTTCCCGTTGTCGCCGGGCCGCCTTCTGCTCCCTTTTCCGCACAGCCTGCCGTGCCTCCATTTCTGGTGTCAGTGGCCCTGGCACCTGGAGGATTTCCGGGAAGGTAAGACTTATAAAATCTATCTTTGGTAAAACCGTAAGAAAGTAGAAAAGATCTAGCCAGGACCTATGATGCCTTCCCACTCTGCTACTTCTTCCTTTCCCAGCTGACCTGAGCCTTGCTGTAATCATAAGCATCTGGATTCTTCTCCATGAACCTTCGGAACTCATTACGTGTTGATTTATCAGCTGCAACTGTATATGGTGGCCGGGCCCGGGAGTCCCTAGGTGAAAAACCCCCAAATTGGATTCAGCTTGCCTCCTGCATCACCTAATACCACCTACCAGACCAAGGAGAATACTGCCAAGTAGACAATGCCAACGTTAGCCTTCAGATCATCCTCTCTATACCCTAAAGGGCTCGGCATGGGTACCCTTACTTACTGGATGGTGAGGTCAGCACCTGCCTCCAGCAGCAGGCGAACCACTGAGCCTCTCCCAGCTGCGGCTGCTGCATGCAGGAGGGTGAAGCCACTGGAGCCCAGTGGGGCACTGAGCAGAGACAGAACTTCAGGGTCTGTAGGGCTGGCAGCTAGCCAGAATTTCAGCATCTCAACATCTCCGGCTCGGCAAGCAGCAAGAAGCACATCCCAGAGCTCTGACTGACCAGGGACCTTGGCCTTATCCAGTGAAGGCTCCAAAAGGACTGCATGTGCCTGGGCTGATTGTGAGAAGGCCTCATCTTCTTGAGGTTGCTGGGGAAGAGTCATATGTGGCCCAGCCTCCAGGTCTCGGCTTTTCTCCCTCTTATTCCTTTTTCTCCTTCTCCGCTTGGACAATACCTCAAACTCACGAAGATCCAGGGTCCCTATTGTTGCCTCTACTAACTCCAACTCTCCCTGGAAGTCATCTTCTTCCTCTGACCCTGAACCTAGGGAAAATTTTGACATGTCAGAACCACCTAAAGAATAAGCAGAGGGGGGAAGGATGCGGGCTGCCCTAGATGCATAAGAATATACATAGAGATAATCCAGATAATCTTGAAATGAAACTAAGTATTTGTATTTTGTCACCCAAGATAAAATAGCACATCAAGAACTGAATCCATTAATAACACATGTAGAAATGAGGCTCTCAACCCAGATAAGGACAGGCCTACAAGGAAATATACAGGGACAAGAGTCCCTAGACTCTCCCCATGAGAAGCCCTAGCATAGCGCACAATAGAGGAAAGCATGGCAGCAATGATGGCTATGCAGGCTGAGTCTGCAGCCAAGGGAGCAGTCCTTGGCATCCAATAAGAGAGAAATTCTGTGAGACTCATGCAACACATATTCAAGTATCTACTCCGTGCTAAGATATTTCTGAGTACTGAGGATGTGTCAACAAACAAGCAATAACAGATTTGGAAAGGTTACTAAACATGTCTTAGTAATTGCTAACACATATCCTATGTTATAAACAGACCTGTGTGTGTAAAGGTGTGTGTGTTGTAATAAGGCTCATCTCTAATAGGGAAGTGAAAATAGGAGATTTGTCACTGCATTTCCAGGACAGAAACCCAGAAAGAGATTTGAAAGTTTACAGATGGTGCTCAAACCCTGTTTGGGAGAGTGCTCATTCTGCCCCAGTGTCTCATTTTCATCACTGGAGACCTTTCTTTCTTCCTCAACAGCCGCCTTCCTCTCTCTCATTGTCTTCCAGTGTGTCTGAGATGAGGTCCACGTGACCGTCTCCCGGGGGTCTTCTCCTGCCATAAAACAAAACATGATGCTCAAGTTTAGCCAAGGAGAAGCCAGCCCCAATTTTTGTCAATGAAGATATGATGGGGCTGCAGTCCAAGGCCTGAAAAATCCTCTGCACAAATGAAAATCTGAGACTTGGGCTGGAAGGTACAGGAAGGTCTAGGGAGTCTGGGGGATCGGGATCTAAGACTCACCGTGGACATGCAAGGTGGTCAGTTTATGGAGCACACGCTGTAGCTCTCTGAAGGTGGGTCTGCGGGTAGCAAGGGGGATATCCCAAAGTCTGGGATCCCCCCGTTGCAGGGGTGCCCCTTGGCCTCCGAAGAACAAGGATCGGCCAGAGCGGGGGGCACGCAGCAGTATTGTCCCAGTCTCCCCCAGTGCCTTAGCCCAGTCTGGCCCTGCCAGCAGGTCTCGAACATCCTAAAGAATAGAGTAACTCAGCCCTGTATATCTTTTGTTATTTTCAAATCTCCAACCAATAAATGGCCCACATGTATAGAGAGTGATAGGTAGGAATCAACAAATTAGCACAGAGGGAGGAAGAAGGAGAGGATTAAGATTCCTGGGGATCCATCCTATTCTACCTTTGTCTCTCCAGAAATAATGAAGACTGGAAGGATTGAGGAGTCAACCTCCTTACTATACCACTTAATGAGTTGAGGGGAAAATGTGCATTAGTAGCCTACTGGATCCAGGATGCCTAACTCACCTTATATAGTGTGGCTTCATTGTAGCGCCTCAGATTGGCTCCAGCAGAGCGAGAAGCCCCACCCCGGGCATCACGAAGTCCCTGGGCTGTGCCACGCTTGGCCCGTACTGTGTAGCGGTGAAAGGTTTTGTGTGTCATCACTTCTCTTCTGTAGACAATATACACTAAGTACAGGAAACCTGGTATTCCCAGATGAAAAGGATCCATTCCATCTTTACCCCAAGCAGCACCCTCTCACCCTTGGAAAACAGCACCAGCAAAGTGCCCAGCTGCAGCCATGAGCACCACACAGTGTCTAGGACCTCCACTCTGCAGGTTCTGTAGCAGCAGTTCTGGTTCTTCTGGGGGCAGCTAGGTGACAGAGGAGCAGCACAGACATGGTATCTGTTACATTCCCTGAGAGTAAGAAACCAGGTGCCAGTGCTAAGTGCTTCGTATGCATTATTCTCATTTAATACAACCACCCTGAGGCTTGTCCCCATTTTACAAATAAGGAAATGTGAGGCTCTTAAAGGCAGTCAAAGTCAAGCAGTAGAATCGCAATCTAAACCTAGATCGGTCTGTTTCCAAACTTAATCCCATTACACTTGACCCTTCCAAGATTCAGGCTGGTTCAATCCAAGACTGCTGTCAAGTACGATACCCACACCCAATAGAAAGGAAGGGGAACAGTGAGAAATGGACTGAGTCTATGGGGAAATCTAGGTTGAATGTTAGCTAGAGTCGACCACACAACCTGTGCTGTCACTTGCCTGGCGAGGGCCTAGGACACAGCGATAGGCATAAAGAAACTGGCCCTGGGCATTTTGGAAAAGAACCCGATGGGAGTAGAAGCCTTTGGGTCGGTTAGGCTTCTCCAACTCAACCCTCTCCTCATCCAGTATCTGCAAGTCTTCCTCACTGGCTGAGTCTGAGTCTTCTGATCCTGAGATGCTGGAAAGATCTCCTGAGAACAACATGAAATACACAAATTTAGTGCCCCATTTTTGACCTTTACTCAAGCTCCTAAACTAGGGCCCTCCTCCACTCCTGTATCCTACTCCCACACGTCTTCCCACCAGTCATCACCTGTGGAGCTCTGCTTTTCAAAGTCCAAGGCAGACAGGAGAGGCTTGTTCTTGAGACGTTGCTTTAGGTTAAACCGATGCCAGTCAAGCTTATAATGTTCCCTCTGGTAGGAGGCAATGAGGGAGGCAGAATGTGGAACTATGCCCCAGCCTGGCCTTTTATGGTACCCAAGACCAGTGACAGAACTCCAAGTATAATCGGGCAACACCAACCACCTTAGTCAAACACACACCTTTATTAATTAAAGACAAATCAAATGTCTACCTCTCTTCATCCACCACTATACTTTTGCTTTCACCATTTAGTTCTGCACCAGGCCCTTTACCTGTTCCTGCTGGTTCTGGAAGGTTTGGTCACAGGTTGAACAAAATAACTTCCCTGAAATATCCAGAGGACCCTGGAGTGCTGTCCTTTCTGGGCTCGCTCTCTCCCCTGAACCTAAATAAGGGGAGGGTAATTAGAGGTGGAAAGGGAGTGCAAATCCACAATATCTGAAATTATGTTCAGTGTCTAATATACAAAGCAGAGGAAGCTACAAAAGAAAGAGATGGGCTATCGTGTTCAAGGAATTTACAGTCTAGTAATTATGAAATGAATGGCACAATAACCACCTTATACAATAAATATGCTTTTAAAAAGATGTA